TATACTTATTTTCACACATTAATTTAAAATATTACTTTCTTTTTTATACGAATAAAAACATTTCTATAATATCAAAAAAAAATTATAATATGTTTGGGTGGAGGTAAATGTAGATGTAACATCTTGAATATGATATTGATGGGCACTTGTAAGTAAACTTGATATATAATTATGAAAATTAACCACTATTAATAATTTAAATTTGAATTTTTGAGGGTCTATGAACTTTGCTTTAAAGAGTTGTTAGTTTAGTGATAGATTTCAACTCAGATCATTTTAGGAAGGGAGGGAAGATTTTTTGATAAATCAAATTGTAATGTTTTTTAAATATTGCGATTTGATTGGTCAAAAATTTTTCCTTTTGCCTTAACCTAAACATATTATTAATTAAACATTTGAAATAGAAATGAGAAATACTAATATCTTTAAAAAAAAAAAAGTTATTACTTTTTTTTCTTCTTCTTCTTTTTGAGAAAAAAATAATAAAATTATATTAGTGCAAAAAAGAGAATTCATTAGGGTTGTTTTAGAAAGTGAACTCCTACTATATAAGTAAGATAAAATGCAACCACAAGAAATGAACATCTATTAAAAATAACAAAAGTTAAAAAAGGTGATATTCTCATCTTCAGAAATTGGTTACTACACATATGGTTATCATTATTGACATGCTGCAATGTTGAGTTAGAACAAAATTCATCATGAGTTTTCTACAATTCAAAACGTTAGAGATATTGGCAAACAATAATTGAATGGTATAAAAAGAGTCAAACTCAATGTTAATTTTAGAAAATCCCTTAATAACAATAAACTTAGAGGTTATTCTCTATATAAACTTAGAGGTTATTCTCTATATTTTAAAGTTTAACACTACTTATTCTATTAGTAATGCCTATATTTCTGACAAACCTCATAATCTAATTGTCATTACGATCTTTGAAGATCCCTCCTTTGCCAATAAGTTTGAGAAAGGTAGCCCCCAGTATTATTGTTCAATAAAATATAAAGAAGATTTATACCAGTAAAACATACAAAGTTACCTATTAGATAAATCAGATTGAATAAGAAAAATTGACTAAAATTTAATAGTTTTATAAATAATAATAGAAAGTCACTTAGAATCTTAAAATAAGAATTTTTATAAAACTTGTCATTTTTTTGTTATTAAATTTCCCAAATAATGAATAAAAACAAAGCAATCCAAGGAATTTTGACATAAGAGAATCATCCATGCACTTACCTCTTGTTTGATTTAAGGGAGACAAAGTCCCCTCCACTTGTTTGGTTAGACTAAAATATAAAATAATAATAATAATAATAATAAAGAAAGAGAAACCCCTCTCTTCCCATCATTCCCCTTCCAATTTTTCATTATCCAAATAGAGGAGTTTTTCTTCCTTTCCTCTCCCTTGAATGATAAATTAAGTAAATACATCAAAATTTATTAAAGTATTGGTTGAACCCAATTTACAATAATTTATAAAAAAAATTATTGTATTATTAAGGATACATTAAATAGAGTCCCCATGAGAGAAGAGAGAAATTGCCACCTTAAAATAGTATATTTGATTTGAAGGAAACAGATGAAAGAGAACAAATGAGATTTTTTTTCTTTTAAACAACTCTCTTCCTATAAAATGAGAGGCACCTCCTATTTTATCCTTTTACATGTTAAGTAATTCGAACTCCGAAACTCTTATTTCCACTAGAAAGAAATTACCACTGATCTATATAGGTTATTGACAAAAAAAATATGTTTTATAACCAATCAAATTATAACATTTTTAAATATTACAATTTAATTGATTGACAAATCCATCACTTCTCTCCCTTCCAACAACACACTTATAAGAGATTTTGGCCAAACTCCTTCTTAAACCCCCAAACTTACTCCAAAATAGTATTTAGGCCTCTAAACTAAAAATGAAGTAGATAAGCCCTCCAACTCCACTAACAATGCGAATAAACTCTTTCCACAAATGGGTCAAATAGTATTTTATGTTAAATATCACCTTGAAAGCATAGCACCCATGAATTAGAAGAGCTTATTTGCATTATTAGTGGAGTTTGAGGGCTTAAATGCTATTTCTGGATAAACTTGGGGGCTTAAGAATAGTTTTTGCCAAAGATTTTCAAATTGTAAAACAAAAACATTTTTTGTGTAAAAGTCAAGTTTTGTTGACAATTTCAAATCATTTTTGAACTAAAATATTAAATTAGAATATTACTATCAAAATATTAAATATTAAGGAGTGTATCTCTAAATTGAAACTAATTTAAAACTTATAATATAAAAAATAAATATAAAATATTAGAT